TTAAACGTTAATTACAGCAACTACTGACGGCATAGAATCCTTGTCTAGAAAAATCCACAGAACAAGCTCGTCAGAAACATGAGAAGAGAGTGGAGAAGGAAGAGGAGCTCGAGAAAGGGCATTAGCATCAATCAGTCATAGAACTCCTTGGGCGATGAACAACATCAAAATCATGTATCTGAAGCTTCAAATCCCACCGAGTAGTACAATCAACCAGGTTCTTCTACTTCAATAATGAAGTAATGGTAGCATGGTCACCTTCAAGTAATATCTGAGAACCATGTAGATATGCATGAAGTTTCTCGAAACCCCAGATTGTTGCTAAGCACTCCTTCTCTATCGTGGAGTAGTTCATCTCCACTAGTTGTAATGTACATCTTATATATGCAATAGGATGGGATTGACCAAACACACTCAAGCTCTCTTGCATTAATACACCTCCAAAACCAATGTCAGAAGCATCTATGCGCAAAATAAAAAGTCTAGTGTAGCAGAGGAGCTGTCAATAGCTCTTTGAGATCCATGAACGCCTGCTCACAATCTGGAGACCAGATGAAATATAACGTTGATGACTTCAGCAACGCTTGCAATGGTGCAGTGCGATAAAAAAGATGATCCACAAAGCGATTAAGATACTGCACTTTGCCAAGAAACACTACACATCATTTACACACTTTGAAGTAAGGAACATTAGAACAGTCACAAGTTTGTCAGGATCAACTTGCAAACCCTAGTACCTAAGATAAGTTGTGTCCTTGGACCGAAATAAACACTTCGACCGGTTTAGCTTTAAACTAATATCCCGTAGCTGATCCAACACTTTATGAATATCACAAAAATGCTCCTCCTACATCCCCTCCAAGTGGATCAAGACATCATCAATGAAGTCAGCAGTCACCTCTGGCATCACAAAGAACCTCATCCATCATTTGTTGAAAAGTTGCTAGAGCATTATTCAAACCAAACGGCATCACCAAGAACTCGTACAATCCAAATGGTGTGCAAAAATTAGTCTTAGGAATATTGTTTTTCGGCCATTGGTACTTGCCAGTACCCAAAAGCAAGATCTAGTTTGGTGAACCAATGATTTCGCCCTAGATGATCCAAGAGATTAGTAATATGAGGAAGAGGGTACACATCTAGGATTGTCACTTCATTTAACGGATGATAGTCGATGCAAAAACGACTACTTCCATCAGGTCAATGTCAAAGAGATCAGAATACTCCTTCATGAGCCGGTCAACCACTGCAACACAAAGATTGTCGGAGGGATTGGAAAAGGGAAGAGCAGAACAAGATGGAAACACAGAAGGAAATAGTGGGGAAACAAAAGTAATGGAAGCAGAGGTAAAAGTAAAGGGACGAAGAGGTACGGAAGTGAAAGGAATGGATGAAACATAAGGAAGTATGAGACAAAGGGGAGAAGTTTTAAAGTCACACTTGGCATGATTGCATTGCAACTAATCCATACTAAAGATGATGTCAAAAGCCTGACTCGGCACCACTCGCAATAATTGCAACTCAAGCTCGAGATCGCCCATACGCACAACCAGGTCTGCGTCATCCTGTGCATATGCATGTGTACGGCCACTGCCATAAAGAATGAAAACTAATTCCGCTGCACGACGCAAGTGTAGACAGCAATGTGTGGCAACAGGTTGAGCAATAGAAGATAAACTCAAACCTGTATCAACCAACACAGAGAGAATAATAAGAGACCTTTTGTTATAAAAATGAGCTTGGAAAGTAAACACTAGATGAACCGGTGCCGAATGAACCCCTTGATGATACTCTCAAAAGAAAGATGGAGGGCTCACTGACTTATTCATGTAAGGTCCTTTCGTTACTCGTGTGACACCTCATTTCCCAGATGCATTTTGGTGTTTAGACCTTCTACTACAATAGCACCAACAAGATGTTATTGACACCACCTAGGAAATGAAGGTTGCCAATCCAGAAAATGCTGACAACGCCGATAAGTGTGACCAACTTCATCACATGCCCAATAGTGAACGTCATGGCCACGACCACGTCCTCGCCCTTGTCCTTAGACTCGAGCAGCAACAGCATCAACCTCCATTGGAACAAGACCATCGCCCATAGAAAGGGGAGTAGAAGGACAAGCAGCGAGAAGTGGAAGAGGTGATGTCTCATAATATTGTGCTAAGCAAAGAGCATCGTCAAGGGTGGCTGGAGCAAGTGCATGCACAAGTCCGACAAGATCTTGACGAAGTGCTGGCCACAACATTCCTAGCTTGATTCGCTCTGACATATTTGGCTCTGCATGAAGCTAAAAACTTCGGAAACAAATGCCAAATTGCATCACCGGTTGGTGAAGAGGATGCAATTGTTAAAAGGCATTATCACAATCGTCAGCATGTCCGAATGTGCATTTGAAGACGTCTGGGAGAACACTCCAATCCCTACGAGTGGTTGCGCTCAAACCATTGTACCACTGCAACGCCATCCCTTGGAGACACGTGGGAAACTCACGCAAATGTCAAGTATTATCCCAAGAATGATATGTGGTAATCACCGTGAAGTGATCAAACTAATAGTACACATCATCCCTAGGATTCTCGCAAAAAAACTCCAGCCAAACGCAAGGATTTGCACCAAGAGCAAAAGGAGTTATACCATGTGCCATGAACACCACCATCAACTGAGTTTGGTTGTTTAATTGCAAATGCATAGCATCAAGCAATTGTACCAACTGCTGCTCCAAAGTCAAAGGAGGAGATTGCTGATCTGCCATGAAAATGAACGAAAAGGAAAGAGCAAAAGAAGAGGAATGACAAAAAGCTAGAAGGAAATGAAGATTTAGACAATGTAAAAAGCTATATTTAAACCAAAAAGAACAAAAGAAAATAAATGGAAAAAGCTAGATCTAAACCAAAATCTTAAATCCAAGTGTTTTGACTTGTCCTGGTATGAACTAACGTAGGCACAAGCGCTGTTGTTTCCACTACGGGAACAGACTACTTCCTCCCCAGTGCATAGTGGATCCGAGCATGATGAAACGGAAGAAGTTGACGACGCGGAGAGATTGTAGATTGACAAAGGAGGCTGATCAATTCAAACACATTATTAGAACGTATAAACAAAAGCTTTCTTTTTGTAACTTACAATTATGTCCTGTTTTGACAAAAGTGCCCCTAAACTCCACCAATGTGAGTGTATGGAATATGGAAAGAGAATATAGAAAATGTGTATATCAATTGGTCCAAAAACCCTAATTTATATATAGGAGCGAGTGGTCCAGATTGAAATCAATCTGATGGCTACCAAAATCCCACGACGCTAATATTAATATACAACATCATATAACTGTACACTTAGCCTTCACACTTTCAATTTTCCAACTATATAATGCACTTTTGAAACACACTTTAGAATGCAAGAAGTGCTGCATGACCAAGAATAACAAGTCATCAGCAGATTAAAAAGAAATGGGCATAAAAAGATTTGCATATATACAGAGGATATGAATCTTAGATCTTTAGCCCCTAAAAAAAGAATTAATCTAGAGTTGACTAAACATGCAGGCCTTGTAACGCAGCAAAATGCCCCCAAAACAAACATTCAGTGTGATCCCACCCGTTATATCCAAAGGATTTGGCAAGATCCTCGTCCAGATTGATACAAAACGCCCTCTTGTCCTCCACATCATACCCAAACAGTCCATCATCCCCACTTAATTCTTCTTCTTCTTCTTCTTCTTCTCGTTCTACTTTTCTCGATCCAGATCGTAGTGTGTGGTGGTTTCCCTTGGCTAGAAGCAAATTCCCACACCCGGCACAAGCAGTCACATCATAGGCATCATCCAACACAAGCTCCCATTTCCCACTCGTCTCCTCCAGCTGATAGAGTCCATCACCCACAAGAAGCATGATTCTTTTTCCAGCACACGCAAGGCCCCGAAAGTCATAGAATGAATAATCCATCTCGATCTCCCTCTCACCGCGATAATCGGACTCCTTTCTCTTTGGAAGTGGAACCTCCTTCCAAGCATTGGCCTCCACGTCCAGGCTCATCAACCGGGCGTCATTGTTGCCGATTTTTTCCACAAAGTATATCACCCCGTTCTTCTGTGCCTTGAGCTGTGGTATTGGTTTTGCCAAAACGGGTCTCGTCCTCCAAGATCCCCGGGACTTCAACATGGTGTCTACTCCAGTGCTGGTACTGGCACTCCACTCGTTGGAGGTGGCATCGAAAATCTCCACCAAGTAGCCCCCTCTGTCTTTGATTCGTTCATAGTCTCCAAGGGGCTTCGTGATCCTTGGGCTGATAATGACGATCTTGAGGAGCTCGTTGGTACTTTCGTCCACGAGCATGGAGATGATCGAGGCCCTGCAAGGTTTGCTGGGCGACCTGGGAATGCTCCGATTCCATCCGGTCGCTGGATTCCATACCACGAGATCGAGCTTGCTGCTGGTTCCCATGCACACGAGCCCCTGCGAGTAATCCACCACATACCTCCGCGTCAGAAAATTCGCGGGCAGTTTGAACCTGTGCCAGGATCCCAGCCGGGGAAAGCACGCCCACACGGCCCTTCCCTCCCCTACCACCAAAAACCAGCGCTCGCGCTTCATCTTGGGGACGATCGCGTCGCGCCAGGATTTGGAGACCGCCACGCACTGGAAGAGATCCCACACAGGCAGCCGATCTGCCACCGGGCCCAGCGCCTCGGCGCCAGCCGTGCCACGCATTGATCGAGGACGAAGAACCCTAGTTTTGAAAATCTTGTTTGACACTTTAGGGTTTATAGGGTCGCCATGGTCAATGCACTGGAGCTGGCGAGCGCTGTTGGCGATGGTCCCTTTTGCTGTGAGGGATCGATGCCACCGGAAGCCTCGATCACGATTTGCTACAGGCACCACTTTCAAGATGGATCGGGAGGGGATTTATGGCGGAGTATCGCGCTGCCGCCAGGCGATGGCATCCAGGATCTAGCAGCGGCATGTAGTGCGGCGAGTTTTGGAATCGGGGGTGAGAGGGTCATGGATCCGAGCTACAGAAAGGCGCTCAAGCTGGAGCCTGGCGATTTTACGACCAGCTTCGATCTCTCCGGGTATGGAATTCTAGACGAGATCAAAACGCTGCTCTTTCCGACCAAGCAGTCACTGATTGCCAAGCTCTACAAGCTTAACGTCTATGCACAGGGAGATTTCTTCAAGCCTCACGTAGACACTCCCCAAAGTGGAAACATGCTAGCTTCGCTCGTCGTCTCGTTGCCCTGCGCTCATTCTGGCGGAGATTTGGTGGTCCGGCATGGCAAGAAATCCCATAGCTTTAGCTTTGGAGGAGAGAATGGCAATGGCCGGATAGGCTGGGCGGCTTTCTTCTCGGACTGTGAGCACGAGGTGATGGAGGTAACGTCGGGGCATCGATTGACACTCACTTACAACCTGTTTGTCGAGAACTCTACCACTCCAAAGACGGATTTTTCAGGCACGCAGCTCTACAAGCTCTTTGTCGAGGCAAAGGAGTCCGAACAGAAAATGACACTGGGATTTCCTTGCAAGCATCTCTACGCCCAAGGGAGTGGCCTCAAAGGTGACGATGCTTTTGTCTATCACACAGCACTGTCCGCTGGGTTAAATGCCTCGGTGTGCTCGGTGTGGTCGAGAGAAGATGGCTTTCGCGCCTCGAGGAGGAACCCCGACTTCGATCATCCAAAGTTCATTGGTGACGAAGACATGCTTGGAAGATTTCTAGTGTCCGGGTATGCTTTCTACAGGGAGGAAGTTGAAATAGCTGAGATTGGCAAGTTGCTACACGAGGAAATGGAGGAAGATGTGGGCGATGTTGTGTGGTGCCGCGAGAATTTCGAGTGGAATGTCGGCGGCGCGTGCGCGAGCTATGGGAATGAACCAGGCACTGAGTCGTTTTACTGTGCTGCCGCGATTCTTGTCAGTGTAGACGACGGAGTCAGTCGCAAACGAAGATGAAGATGACGCAGACGAAAACGAAGATGATCCAAATACAAAAAATGATACAATGGAAGATGATGCAAACGAAGACCCAAACTGACGATCATGCTTGATTAAAGTTCCAATTCTTTTTGTGATGCTCGACTTGATCTTAGCGCCAAAACTGCTTCAAATGTAATCGACGGTCCAAATGGGCACTGGATCAACGGCCACGATCAAGCTTACATGAGAAGATTTGACATTAGGGTTTAGGGTTTCTTGGCGCCAATGGGTGATCAGTGGATGCTCGCGGCCGCTGCGAGGAAGATCTCCAGTCCCTTTTGCTGCGGTGGATCGCTGGCGCCAGAATTTCCGGTTAGAATCTGTTACAGGCAGCAAGATTCGTGGCAGAGCATCGCATTGCCCGACGGGATCCAGGCCCTAGCGGCGGCGTGTAGCGAGGCGAGCTTTGGAATCGGTGGCGAGAGGGTCATGGATCCGAGCTACAGGAAGGCGCTCAAGCTGGAGCCCGGCGATTTTACGACCAGCTTCGATCTCTCCGGGTATGGAATTCTAGACGAGATCAAAACGCTGCTCTTCCCGAGCAATCAAAGAGTGATTCCCAAGCTCTACAAGCTCAACGTCTACGCGCAGGGAGATTTCTTCAAGGCTCACGTAGACACTCCCCAGGCTGGAAACATGCTAGCTTCGCTCGTCGTCTCGCTGCCTTGCGCTCACTCCGGCGGAGACTTGGTGGTCCGGCATGGCAAGAAATCGCAGAGCTTTAGCTTTGGAGGAGAGAACAGCGATGACCGGATAGGCTGGGCGGCTTTCTTCTCGGATTGCGAGCACGAGGTGCTCGAGGTAACCTCCGGGCATCGATTGACGCTCACTTACAACCTCTTTGTGGAGGAATCCAGCACAGTGGCTGGAAAGACGGACTTTTCACGGTCGGAGCTCTACAAGCTCTTTGTGGAGGCGAAGGCATCCGGGAAGAACATGACACTGGGATTTCCTTGCGAGCATCTCTACGCTCAGGGCAGTGAAGTGAGCATTCCAGAGGCTCTCAAGGGCAGCGACGCGTTTGTCTATCACGCGGCAGTGGCGGCTGGATTGGAAGCCCGGGTGTGCTCGGTGTGGTCGAGGGAAAAGTTTGGGGACAGTCGCTTCATTGGGCATGAGAGCATGCTTGGGAAGTTTGTTGTTTCGGACGACTGCTACGAATCACAGGACAAAGAATCGTTTGATCTCAGTGAGTTCCTCGACAGACGTTTGGTGGAAGAATGGAAGATCGTGTGGTGCCGTGGAAGCTTTGATTGGAATCTCGGTGGCGCGTGTGCGAGCTATGGGAATGAGCCCAGCACCGAGAGCTTCTACTGCGCTGCCGCCATCCTTGTCACGATTCGCGGAGGAAGTCAGGAAGAAAGCGATGAAAGCGAAGAAAAAGAAAGCGATGAAGAAGAAGATGAAGATCGCGAAGATGAAAGCGAAGAAGAATAAATTTTGTTAAACGCGTTTAAATTTAACCAATCGCATTTACACTTACCATAAAACGCTTCGCTAAAACCCTATCCCTAGAATCCGAGATGCTCGACATCAATCTTGTGCGGCAGGAGAAGGGCGGCGATCCGGAGCGCGTCCGCGAGTCTCAGCGCCGCCGCTACGCATCTGTGGAGCTGGTCGATGAGGTGATCCAGATCGACAAGGAATGGCGCAAGCGTAAGTGATTTCTCGGCTCTCTTTTCTTGTTTTCAGCTTGTTTTCGGTGAATTTGTCTAGTCCAACACGAGGTGGAGGGCCTGCGAAGGGAGGGAAATCGTCTCAGCAAAGAGATTGGGCTCAAGTTTCGGGTAAAATCGTCTCTCCCTCTTTATTTTTTTCTTCTCCTTTGTAGTGAGTGGGGACTTAAAGTTGCTTGCGGTGTAGAACAAAGAAGATCCTTCGGAGCTCAAGCAGAAGAAGCTCGACCTGGACAACAGCCTCGTGTCGAAGGAGAAGGAGGTCGAGTCTGTCAAGTCTACTCTGGACGGGAAGCTCAAGCTCATTGGAAATCTCGTGCATGACTCCGTCCCCGTGGACAATGACGAGGTGATGTTCCCAGGGTTTTTGCTTCTTCTTTCCTTGTGCTCAAGTTTTGGCTTTTGCAGGAGAAAAATGCGGTCATTCGTACCTGGGGAGAATTGCGACAGGAGAAAAATCTGAAGAACCATGTTGACTTGGTGGAATGCCTGGGTTTCGCTGACATTAAAAGAGGTTTGCATAGGACGTCTCGTTCTTCCCACTTATATCTTTTTCCATCCGTGGTTTCAGGAACGGACGTTGCTGGTGGAAGGGGCTACTATCTGAAAGGGCATGGTGTCTTGCTAAACCAGGCTTTGATCAACTTTGGTCTCGCGTTTCTTACCAAGCGTGGATATAGCCCTCTCCAGCCTCCGTATTTCATGAAGAAGGATGTCATGAAGGAGTGTGCACAACTTGCACAGTTTGATGAGGAGCTTTACAAGGTAAAAAAGCTCAAAGCGCTGCTATTTTCTTTGACATATTGTCGTGACAGGTTGGAGAAGGGGAAGGGGATGACAAGCTCGCGGAAAAGGACGAGAAGTACTTGATCGCTACTTCGGAGCAGCCTCTTTGTGCGTACCATCGTGGAGACTGGATGGATCCGAAGTCCTTGCCTATCAGGTAGAGCTACCTGTTTAGCATAGCGCAGCATATAAGAACTTTGCGTGATGTAGGTACGCTGGGCTGTCTACCTGCTTCCGCAAAGAAGCTGGCTCGCACGGCAGAGACACCCTTGGAATTTTCCGGGTGCATCAGTTCGATAAGATTGAGCAGTTTTGTATCACAAGCCCTCTCGGTGACGAGTCCTGGAAGATGCACGAGGAGATGCTAAAGAACTCGGAAGATTTCTATCAGGAGGTTGTACACTGTTTGCTTTGCTGGTTTTTATTCACTTATCCTTGTTCTTCTGTTTGCAGCTCGGGATTCCATACCAAGTAGTTGTCATCGTGTCTGGAGCGTTGAATGATGCCGCTGCCAAGAAGTACGACCTCGAAGCGTGGTTTCCAGCATCGAAGGCCTACCGAGAGCTCGTCTCTTGCTCAAACTGCACTGACTATCAAGCGAGAAATCTTGACATAAGATATGGCCAGACAACGGTGCGTAACATTCTTAGTTTCTTCTATGTTGCTTAGCTTTTTTTTCTCTCTCTCTTTCCAGGCCAACGAGCAACCAAAGCATTTTGTGCACCTGCTGAACTCCACACTGACCGCAACGCAGCGAACCTTGTGCTGCATTCTGGAGAACTACCAGACCGAGGATGGGCTCCGAGTTCCCAAAGCCTTGCAGCCATACATGGCTGGGTTGGAGTTCATCCCTTTCTCAGTCAAGGCTCCAGCTCCGGCTCCGGTCCCAAAGAAGAAGGCTGTGGGAGCGGCTACCGGTAAAACGCCTAACTAACCACTAGAGTACGTACGCAACTCGGACATTGATAATGGGCAAACTGTGCAAGGATTGAAGCTTGCAAGAGCCGTGGGTTTTTTCATGAAGTGGATACCGAGGTGAAGCTAGTCAAGCGGCAGATTGATCCTCGTATCAGCTTCACGACCCCAAAGAAGGTACTTGAGACTTTCTTCTCACCTTTTCTTCATGTGGTAACCCTTGTTGATTCTTCCAGATAAGCTACTGGAGCTCCAAAACCATGCCGAGAATTCCTAGTGCCAATTGCTTGGCAGTGTTTTGAGTTGCCGAGATAGCAAAATTGTTTTTGTTATTCATGAATCATAGATACTACTATTCTACGATCACTACGTTGTCTAGAAGTGGTTCTCGGATCGATTGATCCAGTAAAAGCTTGCGTTGCCTTTGGTGTCTTTGAGCCCATGCTAAAAGATAGAGCCCAGCAAACACAAGGAGGATTCCACCCATACTGCAAGACCAAACAAGTTCATTGTTTTAGAAATGTGGTTCTTGGAGTTTTGATCATCACCTGAGAGGATCTAGTGCCTGTCCACCGAAGAAAACGTAGAAAAGTGTGACTAGAACAGTCTCCAGTGGCTGATAAGCAGCGACGAGCACGGGTCCTCCTTTATGAACTCCCCAAGATTGGACTCCGGATACAAATCCAGATCCAATCAATCCCTGAAAGAATGAAAGTTGATAAGTTTGAAAGATCATAGTGATCGTAGAGCTTACTGCATATAAAACGCTGAGGATCACTCGAGGCTGGCTTGTCGTCCAGAAGCTCCAGATCTTCGAGGCCTGGCCAAAGCTGGCCGAGATGATTCCCAACTGGAGCGTGCTGAACAAACACGAGAATGCTCCAATCGAGAATGGAGCGGCGTATTTCTTGAGGAGGAGAGATTGGAGAACGAGGAAGAGCGCGAAGGAGAGGAAGGCCAGGAGGAGGCAGCCAATGCCAAGCTCCCATCCACTTGTTTGGAGCTCAAGATCACCTCTTCTTCGAAGAAATTGGTGGCGAAGTATTTCTCTGACTGTGGGATGGTGTGAAGAGAGCAGCACTGCTCCAACGAGTCCCAGGAGTGTTCCCAAGATTTTGGCCACTCCATCCAGTTTTTTCACGTCCAGTTCGTCGACCCTTCAATCATTTGCGGCAGACAAAATGAGAGAGAGAGAGAGAGAGAGAGATCTACCTTAAGATTGTTGCGAGCACGAATGTAAGAACTGGGATTAAATTCCGAAGTGCTGAAGCGATGACAGTGTTTGTGTACTGGAGTCCAATTAAATAACACATTTGATTGATCGTCACCCTGTGGAAAAATGAACACATTTGATTGATCGTCACCCTCAAGATCTTCTTTTTTTTTTTAAAGAGAAAAAAGAGGGAAGGATAAACGTACCCAAGCAAAGCGAGAGAAGAACGAACTTAAAGTTTAGCGCTGGCCTTTTCTTCTTCTCCACAAAATAAGCAAGGGGAAGGAGAAGAATGGAAGCCAGGAAATTGCGATACAACGTAAAGACAAGATGGTCGACTCCATCGACGAGCGCTATCCTCGCCAGAATCTCAAAACCCGCGAAGCAAAACTGTGTCACAACCAGAGATGCGTGCACTGCCAACATTTTTTCTTCTTTGGAAGACTCGATTGATCGGTCGACTCATGATTCTTTGTTTTTGTATGCGGAGGAGATTTGGTCCGAAATGGAGAACCAGGTAATTGTACTTGAAACTTCGCAAGACTCGCCGTTAGAGTCATGGTCAACTACTTGAAACTTCGCAAGATCCTACGTTAGTCAACTAAATATTAAAGTCGTCTTTAAAGTTGAAAGTTCCATGGCTCAACTAGTTTGACCATTTCGATCTTTCCACAAATCTTTTTTTGTCTACACATCAATGAACATTGATGTATTATTCAAGCACAAAGACAAACAATACATCCTATCAAACCTCATGGAGTTTCTCTTCTTTCCTTGCAGGAGCAAAGTTTATGGAGCAATCTTGTGTACCGGGACCTGGAGGCTGATCGAAATCAGGGGCACTTGGGACCGCCCTTGGAGTTTTTGAGATTGTTGTAGCAGGGGCACGTTTCCTTGTTCCCGTAAGTTCCCGGAGGAACGCAGTTGCACTTGCCACAGCAAATGTTGCAGTATTTGATGCATCTGTCGTGCGCATCAGCTTTGGAGCACCTGTAATCGCAGGCAGAACCGCAGTCTGCAAAGATCGACCAAAAAAATCATTTAGATTCTGTCCTGAAAGAAGAAAGAGTCCACTTACTGATATTCTGGAGTCTCCTCGCGGTGGTGAGAGCCTATCAAAACCATCAAGCACAACAAAATCAGCACGGAGCAGAACGAGCACAGAAGATGACACTCACAGAGCTCGGATGGTTTTCACCAACATCGCCTCCCTACACGAAAGTCCATAAAGCATTTTGAGCCTGAAAATCGAGGGAAAGAAATTCGTACCTGGCAATGCTGCTGCATCATCAAGACCACTACCAGGAGGACCACCAGCGCGGATTTGTGGACCATCGCGTATCCACTAGGGAGGAAGAAAGGAAACAAAAGTGCCCCCCGCGATCGAGCCCCCTCAAAATATATACACAGCCGAGTTTTGAAGCAGTGAACCTGAGGAAAACGATACAGCTGTGAAGAAGCGGTGAAAAAAGTTTGGATGTTTGTACGTGTTGTGGAAGCACCGGGTTGGCCGCTGCTACCTACAAAAGCGAAGGAAAGGTGAAAATCACACAGCGATATATCTCCTCGGGCGTACAGTACTCACCACCTTTGTGCTGCCGAGTGAAAATCCTGTGCCCGATCGGGCCGAGTGCTAGAACAATGATTCTTCGCGTTCTGTAGCTGGCTGGCAGTGTGCTGGATGTCATTAGCTGATTGATTGAGTTGACAGGGGGATCCCGGTTGAAGCTGCCTTTGCTTCTTTTGTACCAAACTCTTCACGTTCCGTCAAAGTGGCTCCTGCTTTTGAGGTAATGCTCTTGTCACTTTGTCCGGCTCACAGTGGTTGCGTGAGTCAGATAAGATCCAAGCTCTGGCTGGCTCCAGGCCAGGTCTGGAACTTTCTCTGATCCCCTCGGTGATTCTCGGGTCAGGACTGCTTTAAAAGCCTGCTGCACACACAAGTCGCCCTGAAGAAAGAAAAGAAAGAAGATGAGTTCCTACAAGATAGCAATCCTTCTGATGGTGCTGCTGATAGTACCTGACAGCCGAGAAGAAACTCTTGAGGTATGTTGCTTCCTCTTGTTTCATATCAGCTTACAGTCCAGGACACGCCACAGTCTGGAAGACACCTCCTACAAAGCATCAGTAAGAAAATGATTGATTTGTACGTAAAAATATGAACCTGATCGGTTGTTTTGCTCTGCGTCTCCAGACTGTCCTTCGGCTTGTGACTACCGTTGCTCCAAAGCCTCTTTGCACAACCGCTGCATAAAGTTCTGCAACATCTGCTGCCGGAAGTGCAATTGCGTTCCGCCAGGCACAGCTGGTAACAAGGAGAAATGCCCCTGCTACAACAACATAAAGAACTCAAAAGGGGGACCAAAATGCCCGTGAGTTTGGAGGAAACAAAGATCTCGTCAAGTTTCCAAAACTTCTATCACTGCTTCAAGTGCCGGGAGTCCATTGAAGGGAAGGAAAACGGACGAGGCTCATACCTTGCATAACTGGCCTCTTACTACAAAAAGAAAAATCCGCCGCCTTGTACTTCATTTTAGAACGTAATCAAGGTCCGCTCCAATCTCTGCTATTCTAGAGACTTTCGACTTCTTAGCGGTGTCAGCAACACTCTGGATGTCCAGGTCCTTGGCCACGGACTTCACAAGACCACTGTGCACAAGGGATCCTATTGTTTGAAGCGCGAGGAAGTTAATATCGTCATCTTCTTGCGGCCCAGTCATCTGTGTCGTTTCTGTCAGGATTCCAGAGACTTAAAACAAAAGCAACTACCTCCATTGCGGCAGAAAGAACCTGAAGCTGAGCGTTTTCGTCGTTTGCACCAATTACTCGAACGGCATAGCTGCAGCCAGCGCCAGTTAGTATTGACGAAATCAAAATTTACCAAAAGCATACTTCAACAGTAGATGCGCGTATCCACTGCGGATGTTCTTGACAGGTGACGTACTAAACTGCGAGAATATGTCAATAATCTGTTGATTGCAACACAAAAATTACACACGTCAGTAGCAGAACGTCAAAACAGATAAAAGAAACTCACTTCACTTCTGGAATCGAGGAGCCAATTCTGGAAGCACTCGTGTCGAAAGCAATTTACCATAGCCCGAGCACTGAGAAAGACGTTTGCATTTGGAGCCGGAGACTGAATGGCAGACTTCACCAGATTTAAAAGAACATCTGGCGAATCAATACATATGTTAAACTAGTCCACGAGCTTTTGACCACACCTTTTTGCCGAGAGAAATAATTTGCAGCTTGCGGGTCAAGGACAAGTATCCTTAGAAAGTCCAGCACTGCACAAATTTGAGTTCGCGATAAAGAAAAAAAAAAAAAAAAAAAAAAAACCGTGTTACCTGGGAAAAGATTTGCAACTGGCCACGTAAATAGCTTCTTGGTCAAAATCTCGAAGTCTGCATCGGCAAATACGGACTGATGCGAGGTGCTTTTTAAAGCTTGTAACATTCCCTGTATTCTTTCCATTTCTTCTGACGACAGAGCCACAGAACCAGTGTTGAATTCCGTAAGTTTTTTAAAAATTCCATCGGTTTGCGTTCTCGTATCAAAAAGTGTTATTCCCGTCTGCATTGCGAATAAGGTCAGTCATTTCCTTATATCCTTTCTGTTATCTATTACCTTTGGAATGTGCTTCAGATTGTAAGTTGATGCCGTCTTAGAAGCTGCAAAAGAAACCGTAAAAACCAATAGCGAGAGTATAACAATACCCTCCACATACCAGGGCGTGATGTTTGCCGTGGCACATAAGCATTTCCTGATTAAAATGCTTCGAATCAACAAGCAATTGAATATAGCGATTATTTACCTCCAGTGTAAGGATCGTAAAAGCAGTCATCTAATTGCATGAAACTGTTTGCTTGCTGTCCTGTGTTTCTCAAGATAAAATCAACGATTTGTTGTCGGTATCCCATGGGAAGGTTTTCATTCAAAAGCCATCTATCTGCCGTATCATATGGATTGTCTGCACAAACCTTTTTTTTTAAAATGCAACAAAAGAAGTATTTAAATTACCTCCTCTATTGTATGGTAGCTTGCGAGTCGGCTCCCCGTCCTCAATATTAACATCAAAAACTTTAAAAACCAGTCAAAGTTACGCTCCAAAAGCAAACAAAATTTGCAAATTTACCGTAGTCATACGTAATGCCGTTTAGTGTCTTTGCACCGAGTGCATCTTCTGGACCTTCAACAACTTCTCCCACCTGCGAAGAGTATTCAGGAAGCACAAGAAAAGCCCGTGCCTAATACCTTGTCCCAGTTATATTCTTTCATGTTCCACGAATACGCAACAGCGGTATCCCCTTCACGGACGATTTTGCTTTGGCCGTCGGAACGTCCTGTTTCAAAGATCATGGTTATTAACGCTCTAGGAATAGACGTGGTGCCAGAACCTGGGGTTTGAAGTGCTTCCAGGCCCGGCAATTCCGAAACTTTGACACCTCCGACCGTCTTCCTGCAAAGATACAACAATATGTAAGGAAACCTCAAAGAATAGCGCAAACGCTGACTTTTGCAATTTTCGAGCAGAAACTGAGGCTTCAAAGGCTGCAACTTCTTCTGATGATGCATAACGACTGGAATCTACCGTCCATACTCTCGCAACCCCGTCAGAACAAGCAGTCACGAGATCACCATTGGGTAAGAATTGCAAATCCCAAACACATCCAGGATGTTCCAGGCTCTGAATGCAAACGCCACCTAAAGGATGCATCATGTCAACAATGCACATAATTCAAAGCACAAAATCAAAATCACCTCTCCAAATTTTGCAATATCCATCATCACTGCCAGAGGCCACATCGCCTGATAAATGACCCGCGACGCTATACACAATAGCCGTGTGACCAACCATTTCGAGAAGCTGTTCTCCAGCGTATGACCAAAGCTTGACAGTGCTGTAAGAAAGGAGTAAGCTCAAAACAGCACTTCCTAAAACATCAATGGAGTTTACCAATCGTGAGAGGCTGAAAGAAATCCCAGGTTCGGCATTAGTGCCAGCCCTCTGACGGTATCTGTAGTAAGAACACTTGAGAAGGTGCAGCAAAATGCAGTTAACACTACAAACCAGTATGAGCATCCAGAGACTTCGTGAACATAGAGCCTTTCCAATACTTGATAGTTGTATCGGTCGATCCTGCTCAAGTCATGAGAAGAATTAAATTCTGGTGAAGTTTGGTACCTGTCACAAGGACGTCGTCTGGAAGAATGACAGCAGCCTGGACTGGTGCTCTATGACCTTTGAGAACTTCTGAGGCACCCCCTTTCTTCCATCTTCTCACAGTGCTGCAAAAAAGAAAACAAAAATGAGAATAGAGGATCACAATGCAGGACAAATTCTAAGCAAAAACCTGTCCACAGAAGTAGAAAAAATCTCTCCCCCATTGCCAATCACCACACTGGTCACCTGTAAGTCGTGGCCTCGCAACACAGAGACTGGCTCCGTGGAATCCATTTTCCAGACGATCACGTTCGTGTCCATCCCACCGGAGACGAGTCCGCCGGCCGGCATCTCGTCCGAGGGTGGAATCCACGCAACGCAGCCGACGAAGCTGGAATGGCCTCTCAGAGTCGTCGCCAGATCGAAGCGCTGATCCTTCTCGTTCCACACGCGCACTGTGCCGTCCCTCGACGCCGTAGCGATCGTCGATTCACCGACGATGCACAAGCCGCGCACCTGGAAACGAGAGATTCTTGCTCCCTGAGAAGAAATTTCGAGAGAAATCTTACATCGTCCTCGTGTCCGATCAGCTGGCAGCGCAGCTTGTATTCGCGCTTGTCTTCCGCCATTGGGAAAGAGCTCAAGAACCCTAGCCCTAGAGCAGCCACGTAGGATGATGTTGCCAATGGAAGCCTGCCACGTATACCAAACCACGTCACACGTCACCAACAATTTTTGCTTGGGTTGATAAACCCTAGGCGGGCGAGAGAAGAATGGAGATGGGACGACGATCTTCTCGCAGTGCGCTTCCCCTGATTCTACTTGTTCTTGGAATCGCTGGAGCGGCGCAAGGTCTTTACGATGCATCCTCGGACGTTGTCATTGTCAATCCATCGAATTTCAAGTCCAAGGTATGAACACCTGCATTCGCATTCTCTAGGCGTCATATAGACGAGGATTCTTCTTCCTAGGTGCTCGACGCTAAAGGAATCGTAATTGTCGAGTTCTTCGCGAACTGGTGTGGTCACTGTAAAGCTCTAGCTCCGGCATGGGACAAAGCAGCCACAGCGTTAAAAGGGATTGTTACCATCGCAGCTGTTGATGCTGATACGCACAAATCTCTGGCAGCGGTACGTGTGGTTTTCTATAAGAATTATCAACTCCTCCACGATTCATTCCAGGAATATGGACTCCAAGGATTTCCTACGATCAAAGTTTTTGGAGTAGGGAAATCCCCTATCGATTATCAGGGTCCACGGGAGGCAAAGGGAATTGTCGAATTCGCGCTTCAACAGGTTAGAGATTTTTCCTTTCGTGTTTTCTTTTTTCTCAACTGGTTAAGCAGGCCAAGACTCTTGCACTTGATAGACTCAAGTCCAAAAAGAAGAGCCAAGACAAGGAGAAGAAGAACCAAGATAAGGAGAAGGCGTCGATTGAGCTTACGCCAACGAACTTTGACGAGCAAGTGCTAAAGAGCAACGATATCTGGCTCGTTGAGTTTTTCGCGCCTTGGTACTCTTTATGCTATTAATTCTGGATGAAAGCTCTAACCTTTGTACCATAGGTGTGGTCATTGTAAGAAACTTGCGCCAGAATGGAAGAATGCTGCCAAGAGGCTGAAAGGCAAAGTTAAGCTTGGACAGGTGGATGGCGACGCGCACAAGGTTCGTCTTGCATACAAAATGACAAGAGGGCTGTCCATGACCTGTTTTCTTTCTTTAAACAGGATCTTATGAGCAAGTATAGTGTCACAGGATTTCCAACTATCCTGGTTTTTGGAGCAGATAAGCAGAACCCGACGGTTTACCAAGGTGCGAGAGACGCATCAGCGATTGAGTCTCATGCTCTTCAGCTGCTGGAAAGTAGCGCTGTTCCGCCAGAAGTTACTGAGCTGACTGGACCGGTACGAAACTTATTGTTACCATGCATTCCTCGTCTTTGATTCACATTCTTGTGCAGGAAATCATGGAAAGTCACTGCTCTTCGGCAGCAATTTGTTTTGTGACGTTTCTTCCAGATATTCTGGACTCAAAGGCTGACGGCCGTAACCAATACTTGGACATCCTGAAGAACCTTGCCACGAAGTTTGGGAAAGACCCCTATGGGTACGTAACTAGCTCTCTTCCGAACTTTGGATCTACAGCGGCGATATTGCAGGTACTTGTGGGCCGAGGCTGGCAAGCAACCATCCCTCGAAAAAGCTGTTCAAGTTGGTGGATATGGCTACCCGGCATTAGTCGCTCTCAACGTGAAAAAGGCGGTGTTTCTCCCGTTAAGAAGTGCTTTTGAACCAAGCTCCGTGCTGTAAGTCTTTAATGGCACTTGAGTCGCCAAGGACTGATATCGTTGTTCTTGCCGATTGCAGGGACTTCGTGAAAGATGCAGGACAAGGTGGGAAAGGAAACCTTCCGCTTGGCACCGGCTACGAGATCGTCAAAACCGATCCTTGGGATGGTAAAGATGGGGAAGCTATTCCAGAAGAGGAATTTTCTCTCGAGGAACTAATGGCTGCTGATGAGAATGCTGATGCGCAGAGTGAACTCTAAGAGGCACTGCCATCGCGTTGTAAAAGTTTTCTCTGATGGAATGGAAGGCTTCGGGCCCCCCGAATCAAACGACATATCGTTCGTAGCTTCTTACTTTCTTCTTTATTGTGGCTTTCGCTTTAGCAGATTCCTTCTGCAAGTTGCATCAGGGAAGACAGCGATTTGTAAGTAGCAGCTAGTCCCTTATTTACTTTCCACTTTTCATTCTTGCTAACGTTACTAGTGCGTTGTTTCAGGAACAGAGCTTGGAAGCTGGTATCAAAAACATGGCATTAATTGTTGAAGGACTGGTCGGCTCGTCGGATTGTGGAGCACGAGCTGGAAAGCCGATTCTCGTGGAACCAGCAGCGCATCAAGATCAAGTAAAGAGGTAGGGACCTTTGTCAATTCAAATGACCGAGCATGGACCACATGCCAGAGCTTTCTACCATGTCATTCCAGGAGCTAATGGCTATAAGATACTCCTGAAAGTTCCTACCGTCTTGGCACAACGTCAATCCTCCTCGAACTTTGAATCCAGCGTATGGATCTTCTTCTGCTTCGATTTTTCTGTTTCTCTGCTGTCGCTAAGATATATGCTCTTCGCTTTTGTTGTTGTAACAGATCATGAGCGAGGAAACCCGTCCTTTGATCAGTGGCAAGCGAGAACGTTACGAAGATGAGGAGCTCGTACTCACGCCTTTCACTGCTTTTGCTAGAAAGGTCCACCGATCCGATCCATCTCTTCGATCATGCTAACTTCTTTGGCCTTGTTCTGATCTTGAAGGTTGGTGCCGAGTTCATTGGAACGTTCATTCTCATCTTCACCGCCGCGGCAACTCCTATAGTGAACAAGCAGCTCGGTGGTCTTTCGGTCTTTGCACTGTCTGCTACTCCCGCCCTGGCCGTGACGACCATCATCTTCTCAACCGGCCATATTTGTGGAGCGCATCTAAATCCATCCGTCACTATAAGTTTCGCTGCTCTCGGACAGTTTCCTTGGATCCAGGTTGGTCAGATCGAGCTCGTAACTTGAAGCTGTCGTGATGACTTTCCTTTCGCGAGTGTACAGGTTCCCGTCTATATTTTCGCGCAGCTCCTGGCATCTGTTCTGGCCTCTTTCATTCTCAAAGGGGTCTACTATCCAGATATCGCCGCAGGAGTGACGGTTCCCATTGGATCGGACCTCCAAGCTTTCGTCCTGGAGCTCGTGATATCCTTCATCCTCATGTTTGTCAACACAGCTCTCGCCACCGATAGATCTGCGGTACTCCTTCCCGAGCTCTTCACTTTGGTGGTTTGATCTCACATCTTTTCTGTCAGGTTGGAGACATGGCAGCCGTCGCAGTGGGCGCTACAGTGTTTGTCAACAACTTGGCCGCAAGGTACTTGTGTGTGCCTTCTAAACCTTTGATCTTTTCTTTGTTTCACTCAGCCAAGCGACTGGAGCATCGATGAATCCAGCCAGAACTATCGGCCCTGCCATCGCCGCCAATTGCTACAAGAGCCTCTGGGTCTACATAGTGGCACCGACGCTTGGTTGTCTTCTCGGTGCCGCCGGCTACACGATCGTGAGAACCACCGGCGCGAGCAAGCCCAAGAAATGGGGAAGAAACGAGCTGCTCCAGTGAGTGAGTGAATATTCCGGGTTTGAATAAGAATATCCTACCTCAAGTCGCGAAAAAGCTAAGCATTTCGTTCTCCATGACGTGAACGTTGCCGGTGATGACGAGACAATGCAAAGGCGTGCCAAACTCCGTTGCTTCCAATTGTTTGAGCGTTCCAGCCACTATCTTCTGTGACTTTGTTCCTAGGCGTGCCAATCCTACTGCTAGAGTCTCGTCACTGTAAGCTGGAAGAAGTAACAAAGTTAGATCTTTGATTGATTGATCCAAAGTCTTCCAAACCTTTCTCTTTGCGTTGCTCCTCCACTTCCAGCAATTGCTCCACTGCTGTGTTGATGCTCATGTATCTCGGCGGCTCGTACGTGTTCTTCAAGCCTCTAAGCAAAGTTTCAAGCGTAAGAGGATTCACGAGGAAATTTTTTAAAAAAATTTGGAGCTTACCTGCACAAGGCCTCCACGGAAGGCTCCTTGACACGAATATCTAGTGAAGAACACAGTGAGAAACTCGAGGAGAACGATCGGTGTTAGAACAGTAGCTTACGTACCGAGGAGGCACAAAGTGTGCAAACCAAGTGTCCGGTTTGCTTTGATCTTGTCGTAGAAACTATCCGGTTTCCAAGTCTCCGTGAAGAATGGAATGGAAATGGTCTCCCCGAATCGATAGAGCTGCAAGCCACACACACCGATCGCGTTCATGACCGATGCGTTGTGGATGACTTCCACTTCGACGCCGGATCTCCTCGCACGGACCACCAGGTCGGAGTGAGTGGTGGCACTGTAGCGAAGAGCTTAGCGAAATAGAAACGAGTAAAGATATTCCATACCCGAATGGATCTCCAACCACAAGGAAAGCCACTTTCTCGGATCGCGCAGCCTCGACAATCTCCTCGGCAGCCTGTTCTACCATCTCCCTATCTGCGAGTATGATCTCTCGTCCATAGAAATCTTCCTGTGAGAGCTAGCAGATAAGAGAGAATCGAGGATCGAGGAGGATATTACCAGTCTAGAAATCGTGGACTCCACAGGGCCTAGATCGAGCAAGGATGTGTACGCCTCCAAGTAGACGCGATCGGCGCCACGCACGGCGTCCATCCCCCGGATCGTGATGTCGCGCTCGTCGCCCAGGCCCAATCCCACCATAGACAGCACCATCGCTAGACGCTAGGGTTGAGGGTTCTAACGGAGTAAAATAAAATGCGCCTTCTCTAGGGTTCTAGCGCCGGAGTGGGAGGAATGGCGCTCTCGCGCGCGTGATTTCGCTGCGCAGAATGCCCGGTCACAGACTCCAGGTTCGCAGCTCCTGTCCCTCTCTCTCGATTTTCTTCCTCTGCTTTGGACTGGTTCTAGATTGCCGTGATTCTTAGCTGGATTGACGCGCGTGATCATAGGAATTCTTACTACGTGTTCTTCCATAGGAGGTCAATGTCAAGCAAGGCTGGAGGATGGAAACGAGACAATCTGCGAGTGAGATTTCCTTCCGCTCGATCCATCGAAGAGACCGGCCTTGACTCGTCCAGGTACCGTGAAGACCCCTCCCTCTTCTCGCCGCATTTGGCTCACCAGGGGCAGTCCATTCTAGCTCCTGATGGGAGCATGTCGATCGATCGCTGGGGAGGAGAAAGCAAGCAAGAGGAAGAAGAGAAAGGCACCGATGCTTCTTCTTCCACAATTGCTCTTGAGCAGCGTCGAAAGAAACTGGGAGCTAGAAGCTTCAGGTCTCCGAGCTTCCGGCTCCAGGAAGGGAAGATAGACGACGTTGCCGAGCATGCCAAGGCCAAGAGGTTTAGAGTAAGGAAGGGATGGAAGCTGGCAGAGGCAGTAAGAAGGCATAGCCAGGCTTGCGAGATGGACTCCATGTCAAGCTTGAGTTACGAGAATCTGGAGGAAGTTCTTCCTGCCGCTACTTCTTCTCCCAGAGCTAAAGTGGGAAAGGACGTGGGTGTACAGGTTGACTTAACAGTGGACGAATTCATGGGTGACAACGCTTCGTCGACGCTAGTGCCCGTGCTTGCCAAGTCCGAGAGTGATTCCACGTCTCTTGCCAGCCCAAGTGTAGATGAAAACAGTCCGACGTTTCCCAGCTCCAAAGCGGTCATCGATACCGAGAACGCAGGAGGAGTGCTAGATTCTTCGACTCCAGGGGAGTCGCTACTGGCTCGCAATAGGTGGCGGAGGCTCAGACATACTGTGGCCTTTGCCACTCACATGGCACACGTAAAGAATTCTCCGAACGATCTTCTGGAGGAGAAGAGGGTGGAGGAGCTGAATGAAGGAGGGGCAGGAGGCGTTGGCGCGGCTGCGTTTGAAGGATCGAAAACGGGGCCGCAACATCGTTTGAAAGGGAGGAAAGGAATGGAAGGGCTCGTTGTGCGACAGGACAAGTCACTCATCGGTTTCGTCCAGGACTTTTACGTTGCTTGCTTGAAGGTACCGCAATAGTCTTCTTTGTACTTAAATGTGGTGTCTACCTTCTGTTTTTCGTGCAGATGTCTATCGGGTATTTTCTAGTTGGAGTTTTTCTTGCTCCAATGGCATTGTCATTATTATTCATGCCTTTGTTCCTGCTAAACATTGACGGGCTTACTTACGATGAAGCTATGGCGGAGCAGGGACTTATCGGCCCTCTCGCGTCAGCGAAAGAAACATGCTTAGCTGTTTTAAACGTCTTCCTTTATGCGTAAGATCCTCCCCGGCTCCCTATATTTTTTGTGCTGATTTTTGGATTGCTTCTCCCAGGTTGTCTTTGTCAACAACCTTTGGCGGATCTCCTGTCATAGCGGTCTCACCGTATTCTCTGTTGATAGCAAACGTTAACACCCTTATGGCACAATTTTTGTTCGTCTTTCTCAGTGGAGCTGGTAAGCAGAGACTGGTCTCTCAAGAAGCAAAACAGCTAACACTCATGTCAACCCAGTGTTTGCCCGAATGTCGCAGCCATCGCATCCCATCCGGTGTTCAAAGAAAGCGATAATAAAGAAGGATGACTACATCCCGAGCTTGGGAGATGGCGAAAAGTTCAGGTAAGTTCTCGTTTAACAATCGTGTCAGCTCTCACTTTCCCATGCAGGGTCCTCAGCATTCGACTAGTGTTGACAGGGCCACCGCCGTGCGAGCTTGTTGACGCTAAAATATGTCTCACTTTCAGGATATTTGTCACTCTCCCGTCTGGTTCCGTGTTTTGCTCGACTCAAGATCTGGACGTAGTACGACCCGAGGCAAACGAACTCTTGCTTTTGTTTCAACGATACTCAATCTTCTTATGTGACAGGTTTCATACTTGAGATATGGACTCATGGTGCGGCACATCATAGACAAGAAAAGTCCTGTCTATGGACACACGAACGAATCCTTGGTCGATGGCGACGCTTCGTTTTCCTTGACTGTCATGGGCCTGGAGCGAGCATCAATGCAGCCTATATTCCATCTAGAGGTGATTCAAGTTCCTCAATTCATGGCGGGCGGAATTCAAGAGTGGTGTACTACTTAACTGCAGGATTACTTCGTCCACGACGGCGACGTTGTCTGGGATGCCGACTACGTAGATTTCATCCAGATCAACGACAAAGGATTGAGAGTACTGGATCACTCCAAGATCGACCTCCTCAAGACTTTCAAGGCAAGCAGCTCTCCTTTAGATTTCTATACTCGCCGTGCTCACCTCGTCTCTATCCAGGCCGCAGGAACAGTCTCGCAAGCCGTGGCTCGAATGAAACGAGCGGTTGACAAGCGCGAAAGCGAGAAACAAGAAGAAGAAATCCCCGAGACAGTCAGTCCGCTGAGAAGCTGGGCCTCGGGGATTCGCAACAGGAAGCTCTGGAAATGTATGTCCTCCTCCTTTACTCGCGCCGAGACCTTCCGGTAGCGAGATCAAAGCTTGCGATCCAGAGACCATAGATCAAAGACGTGACAACACAAAGATCTACAGTCACAAAGATCAAAGCTTATATGTTAATAAATATAAGCGGTGTTATATATTTGTAGATCATATGGAACAATCTCTAAGATCTTGCGAAGATCACTTCTCTTTCTCGTCTTTCTCGTCCTTCTCGTCCACAGTGGCGCCCAAGTGCCGGAACTTGGCGGCGTGCTTCATCTGCGCCAAGAGATTGTCCAGCGCCTCCCCGCAAACGTTGCTCGCGCGCCCATCGTACGGACTTCCCGCCAAGACCTTCATCTTGGTCGGGAAGAAATCCCGGAGCTTGTGGAGCATCTCCGTGGCCTTGAGGAAGAGCGCCGGCTCGATCTTGTCCCCGTCCATGCTCCGCCGCGCCAGGTCGCAAATCGGCGCGAACTCCTCGTCCAGGATCTTGGTTATCTTGCGATTCACCAGCGTCTTCACCTGGAGCTCGCGATCCACCGGGCAGCAGCACAGGATCGTGTTGAGCGCCTCCTTCTTCTCGTCGACGTCTTCCCACTCCTCTTCGACCTTGAGATAGGCGGCGATGAGCATCGCGCGGAGATACGACTCCCAGGAATCGAGATCGTCCAGCGCTACCTCCGTCGGCTTCTTCCCCAGATTCTTGCGCTTTGCCGGGTAGCCGTGGCTTTGCCGCTGCTTGCGCCGCTTCTTCTCGAGCCGCTTCTTCTCATCCTCGTCCGGATACAACTTCATCACATACCGCGTTGCTGTGGATGCCGCCGCCATAGCCGCGCCGCGATCGTGAGAGAGAGATCCAAGAGAAAGGTCGAAGCGAGAAATCTAGAAACCCTGGCGCCTATCTATCCAACGCTGCTGGATTGCTCGATCTCTCGTTCTTCCTAGGCCTTTATATTCTCGCGGCGAATATGCCTGCCTTAAAAAAAGCATCAAAATCTATGCTCCCACTTCTCTTTGACGATGCCGATTAGCGTAAGCAGCACGGCTTAGACGATCTAGTCAGCGTATCTTTGACCAAGCTATGTGAGTTCGTGTGTTTTTTTCCCTCGCATTGTGTGTGCTCGTTCTTCCTCGCGATCGCTTGCCCTAAAGTCTCGCCCTTTCTCTGCAGGGTAGCTCCTCTCTCTCGCAATCTCTCCCCGATCTCTCTTCTCCGGCGCTCGATCGATCGATTTCCTGGGATTTCCTTCGCGGCGCGATGCGGTGGCTCCGATTCTACGTGGACGAGGAGGAGAAGCAGCGGCTCCGGGAGGAGGCGCGCAAGAAGAAGCGGCGTAGCGGCAGCAAGAAGAAGGCCAAGCCCCGGGAATCGGCGGTGATGGAGTCGCTGGGCATCCCTCTGGCGACCCGGGATTCCTGGAGCTGCTACGTCCGCCAGATGGTAATCGCGGCCTACCTCCGCGCCAAGGCGGCGCTCGAGCCCGGCGACGATGGCGAGCACGAGAGCGAGGACGACGATGCTCCGCCGCGGCCCATGGAGATCATTCCCATGCTCTGCCCGCCGGCCAAGCGCCCCTTGCTGGATGACGCGCACTTCAAGAAGCTCACGGCGCGGACGCTGCTCGGCGACGAGGGGCTGGGGCCGATCGTGGATTTGCAGCGGCGGACCGAGGATGGCGCCGTGATCGAGCCGGAGCTGGTGGTCCGGACGGCCGCCATGCTCAAGAAGCTGCGCAAGTTCTTCCCGGATTCTCGCGACAAGGTCAAGGACACGCCCTACGACGACGATGATTTCGCGATGTACAATGTGTCGAGGGCGCTCGAGGACGTGACCAACGATTTCCTGGAGGCGGCCAAGCTCGGGTACGTGGGCGCCAAGCTCGTCTACGAGCTGGATTAGGGTTCTTCTTTCCTGGCCTTTCTTTTTCGCTTCTTGTAAGATTTCTTGTGCGACTCTACTTACGATGGATCGTTTAATATAATTCGATTTTTGGCAACGAACCGAGAGCCCTAAACCTCTAACTATAAATAGTTAACAGTGGTAATTTTATAAATATTATTTTATTTATTGCTTTCCTAAAAGATATTTTAACTTTTAATAATTAAAGAAGAAAAAGTGCTATGCATAAAGGAGAAGTTAATATAAAATTATATTACTAGTACTTCATAAATAAATAAAACTGCTTTTAAACTTTCTTTTATTTTTTTATAATTATTATTTTTTATTCATATAAAATCATGTATATAGTCTAATTTAGTCACAATTTTATATTTTTATTAAACATTAAACCAACAAATATTGGAATTTTAATACAATGGTTTCCTTATCATATTTGGTGAAAACAATGAAATTTTTATTAGTATTAAAAAATGAACTGTATGGTTATAAATTTTGCTTAAAATAAATAATGAATTAAAAGAGAAAAGACCCATAAGTAATAGTATATTCTTTAAAATTGTTTTAATTAAGTATCATTGAGTTTAAATAATATTAAACATCCTAGAAAGTTTAAATTCAGAAATCTATATTTGGTATCTAGTTCCAACTCTACTAGTTAGTTATATCACACCACTAGTTTAATTTAGGTAGGCTAGGCACCAAGAAAGTATGGTAAATTGTAAGCAATTAAAGAGACCAATTTGAAAAACAAAATCTATTATTATTTAAATATTAAAATAAAGGAATAATAAATAAAATTGCACAATCTTTCCCTCTTTAACAATATTATCTATAATTATATTTATAACTATTTAGCACATTAAATAACATATACTATAGTATTCTTAATTTATTTTATTTAAAATAAAATATAAAACCCCAAACCAAACCAAGTGTTGTTATTAATTAAGCATAATAAATTTTTCAAATAAATATTTTAATCTTTAAATATTTCTTAATTAGAAATTCTGATCATATGCCTTTTTAGGCAAAGACCATTCAAAATATTTTGTTGTGTAAGTTTGAAAAATACCATATCCAAAAATATAATATTCTATATTTTTAGCTTCTTCATAATCACTATTACTATCTTGAACATAAGCAGAAAAATCTCTTGATTTTCCTATAAAAGGCCCATCATTTACTTTAAATTGACACCAAAACTGAGTTCTACCAAACCAACGTGTTCCAAATTTAAATGAAAATTTCTTTCTATCTTTAAGAGTAAATGGACCTATTTTATCATCATTTGATTCACATGATGCATCAATAGACGCACCTATTCTATTAATAACATGAAGTTCTATTGAAGAACACAAAAAAATTGATGAATATAAAATGATATAAAACATAAATAATTTCAATTTTATACACATCATAAAACAAAAAATGTATATAACTTATACTTAAATTTAAAGTTTATTTATATTAGTTTTATTTATTATTTATTTATTTATTTTTGTCATATATAACATATATAACAGCTATGAGGTCCAAGTGTATAGCTATGACTACTTATATTAGCGTAGTGGGATTTTTGTAGGTGTTAGATTGGTTTCAATCCAAACCACTCGTTTGTGTATATAAGTTAAGATTTTTGGACTAATTGATATGCATATTTTCTGTATTCTTTTTTCATATTTCATGCACTCACATTGGTGGAAATAAGAGCAACTATAACGCACACTATTTCTCTACCCTTAAGCCAATTGAAAAAGAGGCAATTATTTGATAAAAGAGCCCTTAATAGCTATTTTATCCCTATTTATCCTTCAAAGTTTCAATTGACTTATTGCCTATTGATTAATAACTTGTACTAAGCTTAGGGGAATTAGCACTTCCATTTCTGCACTGAATCTACCAATCCTTCCATTGTGTATATTAACTATTTCATATGAATTCCATTGTGTAAATTAATTATTCCATATGAGGCAAGTAGTCATCCACCCGTACCATAATTTTACGGTGGATACCTTCGTCCATGGATGCTCCACCAATCAAGAGGAAGAACATACTTTACTCAAGGGTATATTATATTTTTAAATAACCACTAATCAATGGAAATCGAATCCATACTATTTACTCTAATCACATATTATCTTTCTCCCCTTAAGCCAACTGGAAAAGGGGCAATTATTTTGCCCTTAATGGCTATTTTATCCCCTAAAATTTCAAGGATTCATGATGATAATATATCCAAATCTCATCCCATAATCACATGCACTAAAACAATTTTAATTGTCCCTAAGGAGTGCTAGGATTTAATATTTTTGGTTTAGATCTAGCTTTTACATTGTCTAAATCTCCCTTTTCTTCTAACTTTTTCATTTTTATTTATTTCTTTTTATTCATCTTCATAGTAGAGTTGCAGCCTCCTCCTCCTTTGACTCTAGAGTAGTAATTGGTGCAATTGCTCGATGTCATGTGGTTGCAACTGAACAATCAGACTCAGTTAATGATAACATTCATAACATGTGGTACATCTCATCCTGCTTTTGCTACCAATCCTCGCATCCAACCAAAATTCTTCCATGGGAATCTTGGGGATGATGTGTACCATTGATTTGATCACTTCACAATGATTGCCACATATCATTTTTGGGATGATGTTTGACGTTTACATGAGTTTCCTACATGTCTCCAAGGGATGGCACTGCAATGGTATAATACTTTGAGCACAGCCACTCATGAGAATTAAAGTATTCTTTCAAACATCTTCAAATGTGCATTTGGACATGCTAACAATTGTGGAAGGACCTTGCACGAATAAGTCAATGACCCTTATATCTTTCTTTCATGAGTATCATCAAGGGTTCACTTAGCATTAATTCATCTATTGATTACTTTCCAAGCTCATTTTTATAACAAAAGTTCTCATATTATTCTCTATGTGTTAGTTTATATAGATTCGAGTTTAGCTTCTATTGCTTTACATTGCCATCTACATTAATGTCATGTGGTAGAGGCAATTTTCATTCTTTACCATGCACACGTATGTACATAGGATGAGGTAAACCTAATTGTGTATGTAGATGATCTTGAGCTTGAGTTGCAAACATTGTGGATAGTGCTGAGTCAAACTTTTTACCTTATCCTTGATATAGACTGGTTGTGGCACAATCATGCCAAGTATGACTTTGAAGTTTTTCCCTCTTATGTCATACTTCTTTATATTTCTTCTATTCCTCTCACTTTTGTACTTCTTCATCCTTTTACTTCCATCATTTTTGTCTCCTTATTACTTCATCTTATATTTCCATTTTATTCCTC